CTTTGTGGTCTTCATGACCTTCATGGCTGGCTGGCTCTTCCTTCCCCGTGCCACCTGACGAGGATGTTTTTGACCCAGAAGGAACATTGGACAACCTTGTAGTCAGCACTGGTGCAAAATGACAGGCCATAGTCATAGTATTTGGTGTTAGCTTGTTCACTTCGTTCATTGTTTTGGAGTTGGGGTCCTTGATTAAGGCAACGCTGACGTTGCGATTTTTCTGTCGGTCCTATGAACTTGAGCGGGGAAACACGAAAGGTAGAGACGGACCGAGTAGCTGTCGGGACCTTTTCTGGTGAGGGACTGTCTCCGGTGTTTCAGGAACGTGCCCCTTGGTCAATCATGGATGAAACCAACAAAGCCAGAGAGCACAAGAAGGCATAAGAAGGCTCAAGAGGAACACCGTTGCGGTCAGATTGCGCCACACGGCTCTGCAGAGAGGCTGCGTTGCGTCGACGCTCGTTTGTGTCTAGGTGTGTGAAAACAGGCGCGCATAAAACTCGCAATGCGTAAACGCTCGCATGTGTACCAGCTATGGTCCCACAGCTGCACGCACTGTGTCAGGATTACAGGCCTGCACGCGTTGCGTCGAAGCCGCAGTGACTCAGTGACCAACCCCCTTGCAAGGATAGTGCTGGAGGGGTGCGGCCGGTACTGCCAGGGATGGACGTCACGCTATGGTGGGTGTGCTCCACGATGCGGTAAGATGTCGCCACGCTAGGGTATAAGGCTGAGTCGAATGGTGTTCCGCGACGCGAGGGGTTTCTCCACAGGGCTTAGCAGAGAGGCTGTGTTGCATCGATGCTCGTTGGTGTCGAGCAATATGGTCTGTGAACGCAGTACGTGCTGTGTCAGGCTGCCGGGTGCGCACGCGCGGCATCGAAGCTGCATTGCGCGACCTCATTGCGCAGGGTTGGTGCTGTATTGCGCAACCTCATGGCCAGCGTCGTACTGCTGTGACTGTTAAGCGCATGACTTCACCTTATGTCCAGAATTTAGTAGTGCTGGCGACGAGGGGAGGGGACGGGGAGGGGAGGGGGGTCGAATCAATTGATTTATCAATCATTCATCACATGGGAGGGGGGGGGGGGGGGGTGTTAGACATTGATCTACCAATCTTTAGTCCCGAGCAAGCTCTCAAGCCAGTCCCTTTGCTTCGCAAAGCAAACTCAAGGTAGTCCTTACCAGGCTACCTTTCGTGACATGTTTATGAGCCGTCAACTGAAGTGCTGATTGACCTGGCATTGCAGGTTGTATAGACTTGGCGTTCTTCCGAGGCAGTGTCCCACACCCAAACACACAAGTACATGAGTACAAAGGCATGAGTTACGCCCGCGAGCAGTGTGGGGAACACTGACATGATCATGAAGTGAGATTGACATGAAACAACAGCTGTCACTGAAGGTCTTGAGCATCCCACCCCAGTCTTGAGCATCCTATCTCCCCAATGGTTGCGCTTCGCGGCCGAGGCGCCGTCGTCGCCTTGGAGGCTGGCGGGGCCCGGAGGAGCTTCACCTGACCCGGTGACCAGGATGAAGGCATGGACTGCTTGGAATCCGGGTGTTTCCAGAACACCGACCCCCTCAGTTTCCCATTGAAAATCAAGCACCCAGACCGTTTTCTGAACACCTCAGTGGGAAAACCAATTAGGAGGAGAGAGGTTGTATGAATATGATCGGATCCCCCAAGGGCTTCAGTTTTGATCCATCGCCATGTGAAACGAGTCGCGTTCTGTTCACACCTTTCGTCTCCAATGATCTCCCTCCCTAGAATGGCACGTGGGAGAGGTCTAGACCGTCTAGAGGGTCGCCACCTTCTGGGAAAAGTACGACCTGGAGCCCCTAAAGGACCCACCAAGAGTGAACTATCACCCAAACGCTCCATGTATGCCACATATGCCTACATTGGGGGTGGTTTGGGGGGTCAATGTATGGCATATGTGGCATACATGGAGTGTCTGGGTCATGAACTATCTGTACCTCCAAGCATCTCAAAAACCCACTGCCTGCCAGGTTCTTCTAAGTTACCGAACCTGAAGAAGCTGGTGGTTGACCATGCCTTAGCCTTAGCCATCCCTTCATGACCGAAACAACTCAACTCGTGAGAACTTCCACGAGCCGCTGCGGCAGATCGAGGGAGGCATCGGCCGAACCTGTCCCAGGTGCCCGCCTTCACATATCCACGCAGTAGATCATACTTCAGATCGCGGACCTCTGGGCGCCGCAAAAAGTGTCTGACACGACGTTTTTCAATCCGGACAGGTCCATGAAGGGACTTCGACCACAGGAAGCTGCAAGAATGGACACGAACTAGACGAACTCAAGGTGTGCATGTTCTGTTAAAGTTCCTCTTCCTCGCGGGAAAAAAAAGAAGTCAGCTTCCAAGAGAGGTTCAGTGACCGTAAATAGGACCCTACTGGGGTACCTATGGGACAGGCTATAGGGTCTTTCAACCTCTGTTGCTTTGTTAAGGATCCAAATCTCCACCGACCCAGGTAACTCGCCCAGACACATTGTAGACGAGCTGGCCTTTGGGACTCCTGAGTCTGAGTCGGAGCGGTGCTGGAGCGGCCGCGGAACCGCGGACGGGGGAGGTGTGATCTTATTCCACATCGAGCCGCAATAGATCTACATCGCCTTCTTTGTTTTAGTTCCGGAATACAGTGGAAAAGATGGATCTCCTCCTTAAAAATGCCCTTCTTCCATGGCCCCCCTTCCAAACCGCTAGCCAGCTAAGCATTGTTGAAGTTGGTTATTCTTTCAATTTGTTAAGGGCCATTAAGGATCCATATGTTTAAGCGCCTATCGACTAATTAGGCTGATTTCTTTCCTGAATGCATGCCAACTACATCTCCACGGCTTCACATCTTTCCTTCTTCCAAGCAACGCGCACATTAAAAAACGAACACTCAACAAGAACAACAAGCAGCTGGCAGCCAGGACTCTTGTAGCCCATCTTCCCAACCACATCTACCACTTTCTTGCCCTTGCATCCTTTCATCCGGTTGTTGACACCGGGACAAAGGGCCACCTTCCCCGTGGGCAGCATGGTGGCATTGGGCGAGCAAGGCAGCTCGCCCTTGCTCGAAGAAGCGGCGGAGGTACCCGCCCTGAGCACTTTGACCTGCCGGGTGCACACTCCCTGGAACTAACATGGAAGTGGAAAACCCACTGTTTGTAGAGGATGTCATGGTCTTCGGATATCTTCGGAACTCGGGGTCATGCCATCCAGGTAACCAGTTCCAGGGAGCGTACTGTATTTGAGGCAAGTGCGGCAAGGACCGTGTAGACGTGTCGAAAAGACCATGGAGGCCGGCTCGGGGGAGGCCAGGAGCTACAAAACGGGAAAAGGAGCAAATCCTTTTTGAGCTGCCCATTTTGCGGGCCTTAAGATACCCACGGAGCAGATCATAGCGCAAATCCTGCAGGTTGTAGGTGAGATGCTGCTGGCTCTTGGGGCTCTTGTACTTCATCTTCCAAAGCACATCTTTCACCTGCTTACCTGGGTCGTATTTCTTCCCCCGAGGGCGGTACTCGGGCTAAACCCTTCACACGGAGGACGGAGCTCTGAGCTCAATATGCTCAATCCCAGCTTCTTGAACACTAGTTTGGTGGCCATGGGTACTACTCCGCGTCAATGAGTCAGAAATCGTCGCCATATGTCGCAAGAAAAAGCCTCCCCCGCCCCCCCCCTTTACGGACTTTCGTACGCTTTCAGAGCTGCTTCCGACTGCTTTCTGAGCTGCCCTTGCACCTGGTCATCCGGTTGTTCACGCCGCTGCACAGGGCCCTTTTGCCAGTCGGGGCCATGGTCGCTCGAGGGGAGCAGGGCAGCTCCCCCTTCGTTTCCTTGGCTTTGGTGTTCTTCCTCGGAGCCGGAGTCAACGGTGCGAAGTGCGAGCAAACCCATTGAATGGAGTCGACGGTGCTGCAGAGGGGATGAGCTCGAGCTCTTCGGTCTATCGCGGTGTAGGAGTTGGAGCCCGGAAGCGGTTCCAGGGTCGTTCCAAGTGGTACATTGACGACGGTTTTCCAGCGATTGCGGCTTGCAGGTGAGCGCGGAGGAGGAGGAGGAGCAGAAGGAGGAGGAGGAGGAGGGCAGCCAAACAAAGGGGATCTCGATATCCAAACAATTCCAAACATGATCCGACCACCAAACTGAGCCATACTGACGAAACATGGATTGCCAACTGTTCAGTGGGAAAGGGTGTTAAATACTGACATTCGTTGACTGCAAAGAAAGCAATACGATCAAGCACCTGGTAGACACACCAAACACTTCTTCTCTTCTGACACCCATGAGTGATGCTAGATCCCTCGCACCACAGTAGATCAAAGGATTCTTGTAGGGCTTTAGTAGCTTGATGCATTTTAGCACATATACGGTCACATACTCCAGGCGTTCTCCTGGTCTAGACCCGTCCACCATCGCTGTCTTTGATCGATCCGACCCTTTTGGGACCCGATCTTGTGGGAGGTCCAGAAAGATCAGGATGGTCAACAAAGATCCGGGCCTGTGGGATCATCCCATCATTGTTCCCGGGTGTTTCTCCTCCAAAGATTCGTTTGACATCGTTTGACTACGTCCGACTCCTTCGTGGGAATCCCTGGAAGAGGTCGGTGAAGCGAACAAAACCAGCTGTTTCTGGTGAGCGGGGCTTTCATGACTCCCCCCGCCAAGGGGTGCGCGGGTGATCCAGCTGTTTCTTGGGTCGGTAGGTAGTGAATCAAATCCGAGTCATATGCCGCATGCCGCATGATTGTTCAAAAAAAATGCTTTTCCAAGCGTCTTCGTAGTCTTCTTGACCGTGGGCTTCTTGGCCATGGCCTTCTTGGCCATGGTCTTCTTGGCCATGGCCTTCATGTCTGATTCGCCTGAAGAAGGGCCACAAATGCAGCCAAAGTCGAGCCAAAAGCTTCAGAGAAACATGAGAAACTGTCTATCAGCCATGCCGTCACCAAACGATGGCCTGCATCATGAACAGCCGGTTTTGGGGCCAAGTCCAGAGCTGTGTAACCTGGGTCAAGAAAGGGCTTGGACACGCGGAGTGGCAGGTAGGTGCAAAATCCGGGAACGGGTCCAAATGGGGTCTTTTTGCTGAGCAGCCTTGCAGTTCAATGGAGACCACAACATCACTGAAGAAGTGCGTTCCAAAAGACAGTACTGCAAGCGCCTAAGGTTAGATAGAGTTTAACCTCTGTTAGTCTGCAGCATGGAGCGTCTCAGGTTCGTTCTTGACAGGCTCAAACGATGAGTTTGGAGTTCGTGGAAGGCAAATGAGCTCCGACAAACATGGAAGTGGACAGCTCAGCAGAGGTTGGAGAACCCTATATAACCCTATAGACTATCCTATACGTACTCCTGTAGGGTCCTATAAGGTCACTTAACCTCTGCAGGGCCCCCTACATTTCAATGTGTGAGGTATTGGTTTCCAATGGTTTCCAGTACCAATACGCGCCGCCGGGGCCGAGCGCCGTATTATAGCGCCCTGTAGTGGTGAACCTCCACGTCTGAAAACCCCAAAACCTCGTGGGGCGTGCACCCAAGCGGAAACCAGGTCACCACCGCCACCGCCATCCGACCCGGAGAACTGCGCAGTTTTCTGGGTGAAACCTGGCGCAAACAGATCTCCTTTATAGTCAAGTGGAGATCGCGGAAGGGTGTCAGACTTTCCTCTGTCCATTCCCTAGTCGACACATCGGAATCACCAGAGCAGCAAGGTCGATGCTTCCTAATTCAGCAAGAAGTGCTTTACACGCGTGTATTGGGGCAATTCAATTCGGATGACGGCCAACCTTGGTGTTGTCTCCTTTCGGTGGCCTAGTGGAAGGATTTCTGCCATCTTCTGCACCTCTGACCTCTTCCGCAAGTTCTGGAAGTCTCTCCATTCTGGGCTTCGACAGCCCATGGGCTCAAAGCCCTCGCTTTGGGCGAAGAGCAGCAGAAGCCAAGCAATCGACGAAGAGCAGCAACTTGATCGTGATTGATCATGAGAACAGCTGGGCCCTTGGGCAAAAAGAACAAACCAACATTCTGCAAGATTTGATGTCAAAAATCATTTTAGTGCAATTAAGCACTACTGAAGTTACTGAACTTGAATGGTTGAACCCTCCCCAAACTGAAACAACTTGCCTGTGTCCAAGTTGGTTCCTTGGATTTTCTCGGGTCATGGCTTGCTCGGTGCCTCGCAAGCTGCAAAAGAATTCACGGTCCAAGGTCTTACAGCCAACGGCGTGTTCTAATATAGGCAGCAACAACCAGGACCCTCCAACGGGTCACAAATTGAGCCCTTCAGTGTCCTTCTGAATCCACGCCGAACGACCTGGAGGGTACTGTAAGATTTTTCTTGTTTAACTCTTTTTGCTCATCCAACACCAAGTGATCACTTGAGACGCCAGCCTCTTGCATCGATTGCACGTAAAAGGATTGCGCACGGTGCAGGACCAGTGCCCCATGCGAGCGGACATCTGGGATTCTAGCAACCCCAGCAGGTTAGGACGTGGCATGATTCATGGCATGGCCCAGGTCCGCACTCTCGGCTGTTCAGAAGTTCAAAGGGCCGGCTTTAGGACGCTGTGATGCGCACTCCAAGCAGCTATGGCTCAAACATAGGTGATGAGGCACGATCCAACCCCGGCGGGCCAAGTGAACATCTGACTGCAACGTGACAGGTGTTGCATCAAAACGATGCAGTGCGACCCATGATACTCACCCACTCTGGAGATGAGTTGCCATGTAACAAGCTCATAGGCTGTTGATACAGGCAGCGGAACCCCCCTGGTTTCTGGTGGAAATTAGTCTTGCAGGACTCAGGACGTGAGTCAGAGTGTATATACCCTGGGAGTCCAAGACCATTTTTAAAATGGTCTTTAGATGATCCGAGTTCCGGAACTTCCTGTACTTGGGTGGTGCCTAAAATAGTCGAACTGGACTTCTAGGGCCTATGTTGATACTGAACTAAGACGAACAGGCAGGACCTTTGCTCGGAGTCCAAAAGCACAAGTATATGAAACACCAAAAGATCACACACCTCCAAGCCTCATCAAGACTTGCCTCGTCAGGTTTCCCGGAATAACACGGGTTCACGGTTCACCTCATTTTCCCATTGTCTTGCCAGGTAGTATCAGCTTGTCAGGTAGGAACATACCCAACAGCCAAGGAGGGCACATGGACCAGACCCAACTGCAAAAAGATTGCACCCCTATACTCTGGCGCTGGCGCTGGCGCTTGCGCTTTCGCAAGCTGCGCTGCACTCACTCAGCCGAGCCCCACGATGGCACGTGCAACGGGAGGAACGCACACCTGCCGTGAAGGTTTGAGGACTGGAAGATATGGAAGCCATTCACATGAAGCATGAAAACAAACGTCTGATGGAAGAAGTCGCCATGAAGTAACCTAAAGAAGATTATAAATATGCTATAGAGATGCTCCCTGCTGGTCCAGCTGCAGGGTGCACTTTCCACCGGAAACACGCAAATTACATCACATTATATACTAGGTTTTCCCTGCTCCCGTCTAAGCGTCCCCTGGACGATGGAAGCGGTGCAACGGTTGAGTCAATCGACTTCTTGGAGGTTCAGTGGTTTACGCCTGACCTTTGAAGAAATGGTTACACTCCCTGGAGTAAGTCTTCATGAGGGATCATGGATGGCATAACTTGGTGCCCTCTCAGGTTCGGATAACCGCGTTCCATCTGAAGGCCCCAAGGTTGCGGGGGTTTTCACTCGCACTTTCCATCTGTGCTGGTTTCGTGGGGAGTGTTCCCATGTGTTCCCAAACCTCCCCAAGCTCGGCGGCTTTTTGCGGATGTCGGCAGGTGATCCACCCAGTTCCTGAGTAAGAAGCCATGTTAATGTCTAACAGCTTCAAACTCACCTTCCTGTACTCCATTTTGGCCCCACGTTCTCCCTACCCCCTTCTAGCCCCTTCTTCCTACTCCCTATCAGCCCTTCCAGGCTCCCTCCAGAAGCCACCACAAACAGCCCTACGGATCTGGCTCAAGAATGATGTGCAACAAATCCAACAAGGGCTCTAGTCGTGGGGTTGATCCTGATACCTGGGCCCAGTGGATGTGATGGTTAGTAGAAGCCTTGTCCAAAAATAGTGATAGTTGTTTAATGATCCTCTTACAGGTCAGGTCGGGCAGACCCAAGGCTTTATGAGCATGTCACATGGGTCGCCCGTGACCCCGGCGGAAGGCGACGCCTTGCAATGGCGGCAGGCTTCGGGATGCCCCATCGCGGGCAGCGGTCGCCAGCCTTGGATCAGTCCAGGAGCCAGGACAAGGCATGACCAACAAGGCATGCCCCCCCAAAACGGGGGATCTACCCACAGGCATCCCTGGGGGACATCACAGGATCCGGACGGAGAATTCTTCATCACCTGAATCCAACAAACCAGGCAGCCCTCCATGGGCGAGCAGGCGGCGCAGATGCAGCGGCCGCACTTCCGGCAGTGGTGCTTCCTGCGGACCAACCGTTGAGTCGACCGACGAAGTGCTTGGACCACTTCCAGGTTCGGGCGTGTGTGGTCGGATGCCGGCGTGCAGCAGCACAACGTCTGGTTAGGGATTTGAGGGATAGATGGATGGATGGATGGATGGATGGAAGGATGGATGGAAGGATGGAAGGAAGGAAGGATGGATGGAAGGAAGGATGGAAGAAAGAAAGGAAGGATGGAAGGAAGGAAGGATGGTGTTATAGTTTAGGTGACCCTAAACTGGACATTCCTGTTTGGAAGACTGGCTCAGGCTGTGCATTTGTGGATTGAAACTGAGTGGCGTGTGGGACAAGCCATTGCCATGATCCAAAAAGGTCTTTGATTGATTTTGTTTGAGGTCTTTGGCACAGCACTGGAGCCGGAGTCTTTTGCAAAGAAGGGGCCCACTCTTAACATCTCCTGCGTTGATCCATTCCAAGAGATGTTATATAAGTGACCGTAAATAGGACCCGTCACCTGGCACACCTATGGGATTTATAGTGTTCTGACCGTTAGTTGATTCCTTTGTTGACCAGAAGGGGGCCAATGTCCAACACATACTTGCACGTAAAGGTCTTCGACGCCGGGATCCAAAAAGAAAACCTCCCCCTTCCCCGGAGTCGATGAACCAATACGTCTCATAAGATCTCATGAATTCTCTCCTTCTTGGTGTGAAAGCCAAACCACTCTTCCCCTGCTTCATTCTACTTCCCCTAGGGCTTCAACCATATCGTCAGGAGGTGGTTAGACCCCTTGGCGCCCACCCCGACCGAGGTGGTTGGAGCCCTAGGGTTCATTCCACTTGCCTTTGCCCCATCACCAGAAAACCCATACCCTTCCACCGCACTTTGGGCGTCCCCCCGCCTCATGAGCAACCAGAAGTTGGCCTTACACAGCTGACACCGATCGCTGTCCGTCCACTTGGGCTCCTCGAGGCGAGGGCCGCAGAAGGATGTCTGGCCAGAAATCCACCAGGTAAGCTTGGACTATCAATATTTTCCAGGGAAGCCGGATCTTATTGAACAAAAAAAAGGCCTCCGAAGTCTCCAAGGCTTGATGACTTCTAGATCTTCTTGGAACGTTCTTTGCCGGGCAGGTCCAGTGAATGCGCAACAGTCACCTCGCTGCTGTAGGAACACCTTACCGCTGTGTGGGCGACCCTGTCGGTTTTTGGGGTGAATGTGAGGGTGTGGGCCATGATTGCAATCCAGCATGTGCATTGTGGCCAATACTGTGACACCTTGCACGCACCAACCAAGTGGGAAGCGCATCTCAAATCTCAACCCCTCGCTCCAAACCCCTTCCTTCGCTTGGGCCAGCTCAGAAGAATAGAGCTGGCCAGCCACACGAAGACAAAAGGATCCCGACGCTTGCAGCATTAGATTGTCATCCCTACGCCCATTGTGCCCAGAACTTGCAATCACTGTACCGGTCGAGGCTAAGACTCCTTCTTGCTCTCCACAATCTTCGGCGCCGGAGGCTTTACCTTGGATTTTGCTTGAGGAACTAGGAACACACGGGGATTTACTCACAATACCTATAGACTTCCTGTCTGGGTGCCCTGTCTGGAAGCCTGGGCCTTTATGTAGGGTGGTACGATAGTCTAGCCAGGACAGACAGGATAGGGTGGTACGGCAGTCTAGTGCCCAATGGAGGCCTATAAGTAGGGTAGGGTAGTCTAGCCAGGACACCCAAACAGGTTGATCCTGGTAGCTCCAAACAAACCTGACTGGTACTTAGTAGGGAATGAGAGAATGACCCCTCACTATAGATACCATAGGATCCATTCCCTCATTCTTTACTAAGCACCAGTCAGAAACGCGTCACTTTCTTCGCAAAACGGTGGCTGGACGGAGCTCCTCTGGAAGATCGTTCCCGTCCGTCATCGCTTGCAACCGCCGCCTGAGGTAACGCGTGGTGCTTTTGGTGCAAGGCGGAAAGGGGAATTGGCCGGGGCAAGGAATGAGATGACCCAACAAGCATCGTGCACTTATAACTATAATGCACTATACTGCCACAATAGCTATAAGTCAAAGAGGATTTTTTAAATGGTCGAACTGGATGACCCGAAATATGGACTTTCCTTTACTTGGGTGGTGCCAAAAATAGTCGAACTGGACTTCTAGGGTATTATATATATATATATTATAACAATGCCACTTTAGGATTAGTTGATTAGTGGATCATTTTGAGAACACCTTCCCTTGGAATCATGGCTCCTCCCGAAAGAGGGTTTCTGTGAACCACCTCCTAAGCCTACAGTCCTTCAACCCTCATTGAGTCGTGTGTTTTGTATGACCAGCTCCAGTCAGGAGGTCAATGAGGTCGCTCACTGGCGAACGCACCGATGAGTGTGCATTCAAACGGACCTGCGGGCAACAACCCCCAAGAAGGGAAAGTAGACCCTTCTAAGCCCAGTGGGACAGGAGCGTTTCCCTCTTGCGCACCGAACCCCCAATCCAGCGTGACTCGGTCTCCAGAGTCTGCGCCTGTACAGATCTGCGGCTGGCGTGTGATAACCTTGGCTTGGAGCTAGGCGGCCTTCCTCCCATGCTCGCTCCGAGAAAGAAAGACCGGAGACCTGTAGGGATCCTCTCGCCGGAAGCGACTTCCTTGTATCAGCTAGCCAGCTAGCTAGTGGAACAGCCGCACAGTACACATGACGCATCCCTCAGAGACTCGATTCCAAGCGCGCCTCAAATGCGTAACAAAGGCGTCCCCCCAAAAAAAATCACTTCAAAAACTCTGGTTAGTGGGAATCTATCGTTTCAAGTCAAGGTAGACGGAAAAGTTCTTAAATCATTCAATACTGATTTCAAAACTGACTTGAAACATATTAGTCAGAGTCAGTGGGGATCAATCATGTCAAGTCACTTAGGCCAGTTTTACAACCAACAGAGGTTAAAGGACTCGACCCTATAGCCTATCCCAGTTCGGTACCCCAGTAAGGTCCTATAAGGTCACTGGCTACCTCTCTTGGAATCTCTGAAACCACCCAGTCGAGGTCAGGCCCGGTGACGGGTCTCCATGGGCAAGGAGAGCCAAACCTTTCGGGAGACGCTCTGCGTGTCCGCCAGGAAGGCCTGGAAGGAGCTGGACCAGGGCCACCGTTTAGGGTCACCGTGTCAAGAGGGTCAGGGCCCCTCATGCGTCGTTCTGTCTTTTTGTCGGTTCACGCCTGTTTTTTTGTGTTGAATCTAGTGGGTGAGGGTGAAAAAAAAAAAACGTCCAGATTCATGCAACTTGATCAGTGGTTCAAAATGATTTAATACAACCATTGCTGTGCTAAGGATTTCAGGCTACAAGACCATGTCAACCTTTCTGTGAGTCTTCGAAGGCCCAGGGTACGTAGACTAGATAGGACCGCCATCACTGGCCTTTCGGTTGGAATCTGGCCGTTTTCTAGTGGCTGCCAGTGGGTGGACCCTGGCATGTTTTAAGGTGAAATGCGCTGTCTTAGGTCAGCTGAAGAAGTGATTTCCTATTGGCAGCACATCAAACCACAAAGAGGATCTACTGAGATGATCGCACGCGTGCAAACGGGCCTCACTGATGTCGCAAATACTTTGGGTGGCGCGTGAGAAAAAAAAGAGGTGCTAAAAGTTAAGCACGATTGAAACCCTGGGAGTCCAAAAACTATGTTAAGCACCACCGGAGCAAAGGAAATTCCAAACTTCGGGTCACCTAGTCAGACCATTCTTAGAAGGAGTCTTTGACAAAGACTTTCGTTTAGGACATCACTTCCAAAAGCACCAATACCATCTTGGCAACAAGTACGTACTTGGTCACTTCCAAAAAAGCACCTGAAACATCCTGAAAACAAGTACACACTTGGTGATATACAGCATATATCATATACGTATCATATTCATGCATCCGCCTTCCTTGGACGTTCCGGAGTCCGCGTTCCGGGCTCACGGAAGTACCGCATCCCGCTCGAGACCGCCGTCCGATCACCTGGAAGGCGTCGTTGCCGCCCTTGAGGAGCAAGCGCCATTCGGAGTCCTTCAAGGTGTCCAGCTTCATGGATCGGACGTAGGATCTGCCCAGGGCGGCTTAGGCGAGGCGAGGGCGACTCTCCCCATCGCAGCCTATGATAAGCTGGAGGCGAAAGACGCCTTCTCCACCCCGAAGCTTTGGAGTTCATGGTAGTTTTGCTGTTTGGGGAAGTTGGACATGTTGGAATGTGTTCACATGGCATGCCTCTATATTCTTAAGCACCCGCACCCTGTGCATCTTTTGCTCATCCTTTTGCATCCATCTATCTTGCTCTCATCACACCTCTCCTCACACCTCTCCCCTCCCTCCGTCCCAAACAGCCTCCGTCCTCCCTCCTGCCAACCCCCGCCCTGGACGCCTCCCACTCCGACCGCCTCCCACATCCCGACCGCCTCCCACACCAACCGCCACGCCGACCGCCACGCCGACCGCATCCCGCTGCCAGCGCATCCCGCATCCGAGGCACATGTGCACGCCGAAGGAGCGGTGCTGTCCGGCGCAGGTGATGCAAATCACCGAGGAATGACTCAGGGAGACCCAAGGGTCCATGCTGCAACTCCTCGGGCAACGGGGAAGTGAAACGAGGAAGGGGAAGAAGCGCCAAGCTGAGTGGGGAGGGGGGCAGGTCTCGGTTTGTCTCGGTGTTGCACCCCCCCAAAAAAGCACGGAGTCTCCCAGCTAGCTGCTGCCTAGGCCTTTACAAGAGCTTTTAGAAGAAAGTTCGAGGTTTTGGTAGTGTAACATCCTCATGAAATCAATGGTCGTCCAGAAATCGGGAAAAGATTGTCAAAAATCAGGCGTCTTTTCAGGAGTATACAGTTCCGCACGTGTGCGAGAGCGTGTGCAATGCGCAGTGCCGACATAGAGTACAGGAGTTTTTGATCGATGCCCAAGCAACACTCACGTATTGAACAGTCTTGGAGCTCATCCGCGAGCAGAAACCTATACTCATCCAGACTCATCCACTCCCATACTTTAGCGCCGCCGTGCTTAAAACACAGAAACCACCCACCCCCCCCCAACACTTCACATCTCCCCACACCGGTGTGGTCCATGACAGGTGTCATGTCGCAATCAAAGCAGGAGGTATTCCCAGGTAAGGCCAAGACCGCCGCAGTGCGACGAGCCGGTGGAAGCGACTCGAGCGACTCGTGCGCGTGCGCCATGCGGGCTGTGGAGGGGTTGAAATTGGAAAAAAAACGGTGGAAGCGACGTGAGATGGAGCTCTGGCAGTGGTGAGATTGACAGGTTTTTCAAGCATGAATGGTGGCATGCCATGTTCAAAAATGTGTTGTTTTTGTTCTTTCTCCCATGGTCCAATGGTGCAAATGAAAAGCATATCGAACACCTGGAAAGGGCATCATAGTTGCTAAACACCCTGAAGCACTTTGAGCCAAACCAGGGCATGAGGATCAAGCGGCGCGGCCACATGTTGCCACCCTGACATGGGATCCAGCATTCTTAAGGTAACATGGAAGTTCCAAACATGGCAACCTGCCAAGAAGGCGACTAAAAATACAACAATCACAACAATATACAGTATATACAGTATACAGAACACCCCAGTTCCAAGGGTGATTGCTTGGCTGTGTGTGTGCTTTTCACCCTTCAACCCTCAACTAAAGACCTGGCAGAGAGGGTGCTGGTTTCTACACATACAACATCATACAACACACACACACACACACCCCTCCAAGAGAGGTGCGGAAATATTGAAGAGACCGCCTTAAACCAGTCCTTAGGATCCAATCAACCTCCGCTGATGCACGGTCGCACGCATCTTCTCTGCCGAGAAGATGGGGAGTCTGAGGCTTTCAGCGGCTTCGAAGTGATTGATGAAGGACTCATCCCTAGGGCTCCTGGCCTAACTCCGCTTCGAAGATGGTTGGGATGGGTGCCAGGGGGGGGGGTTCAATCCACCGAACCTGAGGAGATGGGCCAGGAGCCCTAGGGCATGAACAAGGGATCGAGCTGCGATGACCTGTGTATTTACAATGATCATCTCGGATCCACGCCCCTCTTCGCCAGAGGGGATCCCTCTTCGCCTGAGGTCGAAGGAATGGATTGCAAGGGATGCAAGGGATCGATCCATTTTGAGACCTTCCAAGAGAGGTTCAGTGACCTGAACTAGGACCCGGAAAACCTGGGGTACCAAACTGGGATAGGCGAAGGGCGTCGGGTCCTGACCCACCTCTGGTGTTTGGAATCCCATTTCACCTTGACTTAACCACGTCCAACCGGCCGGCCACGTCATGAGGGCCGAGAGGGCCGACGTCGCAGAGGAAGTCTCCACATGCAACGCCCCTGACGTTCCTGAGGTCTCCAACTTCTGCAAAGCCTCTGCCTGGTCCATCGAGGTTGGTGATCGACGTGATCGGATGGTGGAATGGTGGCATTGCAATAATCTCGGAAGTGCTTTGGGGGAAGATCATGGAACAACTATTGCTTTTTGATTTGAACCCCAAATGGGCAGAGCCGACTAAAAGAAGCCACGCGTGCGCTGTTTTCATAGTGCTTGTTGATGCTTGTTGTGTTGCATTTGTGAGGAAAAGAAGTGGGTCCAACTCCTCAGAGTCCGGTGACAGGTCCAAACACCTGCAAGATCCAAGGGTGAATACGGATCTTCCAACCCGCTACACACGAGGGATTGTGGCCCCCCATCCCCCCTAGTCCATTCTCCTTGGACATGGACCCTTCAAAAAGCTGGCTTCTCTAACAAAAGTCTCTGTGACGTCCTGGTGTCTTCCAGCTTTGGCGGCCATGGCTGCCCAGTAACATCAGTGACCACGCGATACGCCCCAAATGGCCGCCATACGACATACTGACTGGCTGCTCCGAAAGAAGCTCTTCAATTCCCAAGTCCAACAGGTAAACCTCTTGCAGAGACCCCTTCAGTGCTGCCTTCACAAGGAATCCATCACCTTTAGAGCGAAATCTTCTACGAAATGGACTGCATGTCCACTATGTCCACCTACTTATCGTCCACCTCGCACCACCAAGCTGTGAGTCAAAACCACCAAAAACCATGGGAAGATGCCATCCCTTATAAAGGGATCTGTTCAGTTTAAGGAGTCAACCATGGCTCCCAGCTTTAGACCCACGGCCACCTCTCTCAGCATCACCATCTCCCCACCCCCGCCACGGGCCCCCCTTCCCCCCCAGCCGCCTCGTCGAAGCGCCTCCGAACGGAATCTAAGACACCGGCATAGGCCCGCTCCTGCGGAGGAAAACATGTCCAGACTCATGTCCAGACTGTTTTGGGGAGGTCAATTCAACCTGATCTTACTGGGTCTTGGACCGGCAAGGGAGCACAATTTGGGTGACGCAGAGCGGGTAGCAGGAAGTGAAGACTCAGGAGGTTTTGTTTTTTGATTGACTCAGCTGGGACTGCGATCTACCACAATACCCAAACACTCCCCGTATGGAATATGTACCATACATTGTTACATTGACCCCTGAAACCATCCCAATGTAGGTAGATATGCCAGTCCCATGGAGTGTTTGGGGTAGGTGGCCTGCGACTCACAAGCTTAAGCGAACTACTGACAAAACTCCATGAAGCGTGGCCTCATACACCTTCCCAGCAACAATGCACACTTACGCTGCTGGCGACCAGCGGAATCATCCCAGTCACCCATTTTCAGAAAGCCTCACATGCAGAAAAACTGAGGGCGTTCTCACCTGAATCTCTTCCACTGGGACTAAAGAAACATAACAAAATCTAGAATCTGCCACGATTGAGGCTTGAAAGATCTCTTAATTCGTCCCCTCCCTGGGTTCTAAACAAAACGGCCAACAATCCCTATACTCAATCCATGTGAATGACAGCCATCGCCCCGGCGAAGCCTTCACAGGCTGACCACAGCCTGTGACGACACTCTCTGCGCCCACCCCGCCCCCCTCCCTGACCGGAAGCGCTGCATTGGACTCCTGAGGCGCCAGCAGGTTGGCCCAGAGTCGAGTCTAGGCTTTAGACCTCAACTTGATTGATATACCTACAAAGGTTAAGTGATCGTAATTAAATAGGACCCGTCACCAGGAGTACCCAACTAGGATAGTCGAACTAGGGTTCTGACCCACCTCTGCTGGTACCCCAGTGAAAACGAAACTTGACTGTGACAACCACTGCCTCAGCTGGAGGATCACAGGTCTTTTGAGGGTACCGCTCGGCTCGGGTCGTTGGTTTTCAGGAGGGTACCTCTTCTGAGTACCTAATGGGGTGGTACGTGGACACCCCCCAAATGACCTCCTCTTCCACACCCCGATATCAAGTCTGTTTATAGACCATCTCCTATCATCTGTGTCCATCTATCAACCTAGACCTGCACCACCCAGCACCTCCAAAAAAAACTTGAGAGGAGGGAGACACGAAAGGTAGGACAGCGGGAAGAGAAGAGAACGCGAGAGGCAGGAACAAAAATGCAATGTTCGACATGGTGATTTATCCCCTCGGAGGCGACCTTTCGTAAATATATGTTCATATGCACTCTATAAATGTTCAAACATATGCTCTCGAAATGTTCAAAAAGATTCTTAGGAAAACAAACTTGCCCCATGGCTCAGATCATCGGTGAGCATTGAATCGGAACATCATAGGATTTGAACTATCCTGAAACCATAAGAGGCTCACGAA